GTATCCGTAAGTTAAAGGAGCACTTTCGGTCCTCTTTCGGAAGATAACCGCGAGCTTCACGCTGTCCTGAATCATGGAAAAATGGCAAAGTTTTCCGATAGTTGCGGGGGAGAGAACTCTTCTTACCGTCGCGTATCATGACGTTAGGTCCGCAGGCACCCTAAAAACGGGGTATTAGAAGAGCCATCTGGACGCGGCACTTCGACGTCAAAGTTTCCACGGAACGGAGTTTCGACTTGGCCGCAATGCCGTTACGGCAATTTCTCCAGGGGGATGGTTACTTACAGTGTTGGCTTAAACAACATACTTAACCGGGCTACTTAGTACTCACGGGCGGCAGACGTACCCCTTGCAATAATAACATTTCACCCCCTTTAATCCGCAGCCTGCTGTTAGTCCTCGGCTAAGTATCTGTCCTCCTCTTACCCTCCATTGTCGTTCCATCGCCTTCCAGGGCGAAATCAAAACACGGAAAAGCCGATACAGTTTTGCGTAATACCCTCGTCAGAAACTTCCTCAGAATGTTTTCGGTCCTGTTGCTGAAGGGTGGATGTCGTCGCGGAAGAAAGAACCGCGACGAATTGTTTTGCGTGCAAATTACAGATTGGTTCATAATTCTAATTGGCTTGTGTATCTACGAATTAAAATCTAGCTGGTTCGTAAGCAGCGTGCAACATTTAAATTATTGCGAAGATTGCATTGTTCCTAGAACGATCATTCTAATTATGGTAGATGATTGAAACGCTTAGAACGTAAAATTGAGATGATAATATTTGTTTTTTACTTTGAGTCTTTAAATCTTGCAACGTAGTATTAGTTCCATTTCTATTTGTCGAAATAGTTGAGCAATTTCAATGTAGAGGTCAAGCGTTGTTCATCGTTAATGTTCGTTTATATTTAAGCCGTTCGGTCTTCGGAGAACAGCGTTGGTAACAGATGCATAGCCGAATGATAAGATAACGTGCAGTAGGCGGGGTACGGATTCCCATATAAGTTCCACAGAGTTAGGAGATACTCCATCGAACATAATACAGCATAAACCCCATAGTGCTAAGCGGCTTAGTACCTCGCAAGGGCAGTGACGCCTGACACATCCATATATACGGGCCCAGGTACGTGACGTCTCAGACGTGGATTTTCAGACAGCTTTTCCATAATCTAGACCATTTTTTCACCTTCAGAAATATAACAAAAGAAAAAACATAAAAATAAACATCATCTTGCATTCCATAGTTAACGTAGACTCTCCTTACTCCATCTCACAAGTAAATTAACGAGGTTATCCAGTAAAAATCATATTTTTTAAAGCAGATTATTAATCGATAAAAGTACGTAACAATGCAATCAATAAAAATTGCGGAGAAGGCGTAGAAGATTTATTTCGACACCGATTAGAATTCATTGTTTGCCCAAACAATCCCGCGAGAGAAAATGTTTCCAGCCAGCTATTGCAGTTAGCTAAATATTTTGTTTTTCCCATGAAGTTGCCCGGCGGGTCCCATAGAAGGGGCCAAGGGACGACGCGTGACACACCCCCATTGAAATCCTATGCACGGGATATGCTTAAATTAAACGGACGCCGGTGTCACATTATGGCACAGAATGGCGAGTTATATCTAACCTCTCATTAACCCCGTGTGAACTCGAACGCGGGACCCTCCGTGTAACGCGACACGTCGAATTTTCGAATTCGAAATACGTACCGGCGCAGTTTATTACGGGTTGCAGTGGGTCATACGAGATGTTTTAATCGATCGCTATTACGTACGAGCTGGAAACATCAGGAATGTGTGGGGCGAACGAGAATCGGGCGGAGGCTGTGCGATCGGAGAGTTCAGAATTATAAAGGCCTGGGGTACTTGCTTTTAAGGCCCTATAGTGTGTTCAAATTATATTACAAGGTTGGCAGGGCAGATGTTAATTATACGAAAAAATATTGTTACAGGTATGCAAGACGTACTGAAAAGGGATGGTTCAAACTCAAAGTTTTCACGGTTGAGAAGAAGCCAGTGTTTCCATTCCAGAGACGAGTTTCAATAGGTACAGAAAAAATCGAGACGCGATTCGTCGATCGTTCCGCGTCACCGTCGCGCCATTATTCCTTCGCGTCGCGATCTCCACGCTACAATGTCGATTCCTCTCGTTTCCATGGCTTTTCCCTTCCTTTTCGAGTTCACCTCGCGCCCTTAAGCAGCTAAGAGCCCATGATCTCGCCGACGGCGGCCGGAAGAGAAGATCGGGAAATGTAGAACGTCCACGAGCGGCTCGTAGAGCAAAAGGGACGGAATGGAAGGGAGGGCGCGTAAATCCCGAAAAACTTCTTACCGCAACAATGGCTAGTACCGATTTTAAAAAGATCCTGCGAAGATTTGCCATCACTTTCACACCTCTCCATGGCACCCCAGCCAGCCTAAGACCTACAACAAATACCTGGTGGGCATCGTAATCTCGCTAAGGCCTCCCATAGCGGGGGTCCCTGCGGGCTCCCATTATGATTTTCGCGGCATTGTCACGGTGTCGAATCTGTCTACAAATAACCACTAGAGAAATGGTTACTCTGTCGATACTCTTCAACGATCCCGTCTCCCTTCTTCCTTAACCCACCGCAATTCGTTTCTCTTTCCAACCACCGTCGACGCCCGTCTATCTGCTTCGTATTGCCTCCCCAGCTCTCGTTCCGAGGTCTCCGCCATTCAGAGTGGACTACATTATTTTGCTGTAAGGCCCCGACCACACTGTATTATCCTAACATCTAAATCCCGACAGCTGGATGTCTATCAGAGACTCTCAACTCACGAAAGCATCCGTCGCTAATAGCGGCGGCCTTCGATAGGCTCGCCTATCCGTGGCGAGCCGATAAAACCTAACCGGAGGCTCGCAACCTCGATGATTCGATAATGAGAAAGAGAATTTTTGTTTCAGCAAACCCATCTACCCGAGCTCTTTCACCCGATGGATTAAAAGAAGCGATGGCGTTCCGATACCGCGATACGGGGCACGAGTAACTTTCCACCTGCGCGTCCGATGCATTATTCATTTGTTGCGATTGAAATTTCCGCTGATGCTTTTTCGGGACACGACTCCTCTCCTTATCGTTTCGATAATTCCAGGCGTTATGAAACCTTACATGCGTTCGTCTATTCGAAAGGAAACGAGTAAAAGGCGATTGCCTCTGCTTGCGATACTTTCGGTTTATTTTATTTGGATTGGTGTTGTGGTTTGGTGGAAGTGTTGTATTCTTTATTTTTTATGGATTTTGTAGTATATATTTGTTGATATTTGTAGGATAGTTGTTTTGAATAAGCTAAGGGCGATGGAGGGTTGAAGGTTCAGACGTGAATATAGAAATCCTAGCATCTGAGTTTTCATTTTTCAGTACACCACGTATTAGTAAAACTACCAAGAATTTACCTGAGATCGTCAAAAAAGTGATACACGGTCAACCCCTAAAAAGAATAACAAACACTACTCCCTCCAACTAAATAGAATCTTTCCCCAACGAGCCAGCAAAGAAACCCCTAAAAGCGAATTTTCCACCGCCATTGAAAGCGACGAATGTCTAAAAACCTAAACAATCGCCTCACCTTGCCTCGCATAGCGCGGCAGAACCTGTTTCCATCCGTTTTGTAAAAACGTATCGTTCACGGGCGGCCCAGTGTTGAGAACCACTTTCTAATGAATGCGCCAGAGGTGTCAGAGCAGCAACTGTCAAAACACGAGCGGCAAGACGACCGTGGGCATACAGTGTGCGACAAAGATCCACGACGGGACGAACGAGGGCAGACGGGCACGGTCCTTTTCACGCCATACTGGATGTACCTTGAAAACGGTACACGGAACCGATGCCTATCGATAATCGCGACATTCATCCTTTCATTCCCCCCTTCAGGGCTGCGAGATTCTTCCGCGGCTACGTGTCGGATACTTAGCAACGTCGGAACGAGGCATTGTTCGCGGCGCGCGTTTGTTGCACAACGGTCTCCCCGCCTTCCGTTCGTTGAATTGCAGACGATCCTTATCAACGAAGGCTAGAACTTTTGTTTTTTTAAGAAACGACGAGAAACCTGGAATTAATAGCGCGTCGTGGCATAAACACTCGACCGATCTCTCGTCGAGCCTGCGCAGACTCGATCCGCGACTCGTAAAATAACTCGTAAAATAAATCTATACGTCTACGGCTTCAGCTGTGCAGTGGATGGAAAATATTAACGATGTTCTTATACCTGTAACATTTTTTGTAAAGCGATTCCATGGCTGGCACTCGTTCGCGGCAGGTGTAGTAATCCTGACTGTCCAGCATGTAGCGACTGGAAGTATCGTTTACGTTGGCCGTACAAAAAATCACAGTTTACTCCCAAAGGGTTCACTTTCAGGTCCGTGTCGATTACCTACTTTTTACCCGCTTCGGTGAGTACTATACACTCCCGAAACCGTGCGGTATACTCTTCTTTCGAACTCCCTGCACCGGAGAATTTAAGCGGTGCTTTGCTTCCGTTGGGTATTCAAGTGGACGCGCGTATTTTTGGACACGCGTATCGTTATTAAACTGCGAATTAATGCATTTGTGATACAAAGGATCTACACTTCCGTTCAAAAATATATGGACACCTACCAACTTTAAAGAATAATCAATATACACCGTAAATTATTATTATAAAATGTGTACTATAATCTAGTATTATACTGCAAACTAAATACGGAAACATGAGCGATATTTATTAATATATTCGTAACATTTTTTAGATACTTATTCCAATTAAGAAAGTGTCCATATACAGATAAACGGGGGTGTACGGTGAGCATAGCTAAAAAGGTACGCGGACCTATGCAAAACGAATATATTCTATATGTATTAGGTTTATATATTGGGTTGTCCAGAAAGTTCATGCCAATTTTTACGAAAAACTCAAAGGCACATTTAAACCTTGATATTTACTTATTGAATTACATAGGCACCATCTTGTTCCATAACCTTTCCACCTTTTAAGGGATATATTCAGACCTGTACCATGTACCAAAAATCAGCATGGACTTTCCTGACAACCCAATACATGTTTCGTATGTTTCTCATCATAAAATCCGCAATCCAATCATTATCATAGCACGTACGAGTGTCCACTTTAGGAAAGTATCTCTTCGTCGTCCCGCACAATTCCGATCTCCAGTATTTACTTCGTGATTTTTCCTTAAAAGAAAAGTCCTCCCTCCCCCAAGAATTGTTTCCTACTCCAAAAGTTTCAGCGAACAACATCGCGCGAGAACGCAGGCGACGATTAGCCCTCTCGAAGCCCGCGACTAAACGCATTTCGCTCAATGGCCAGTTTCAATTACGGCAACTACATCGAAGTGATTCAACAACTCGCTGGCGAAACACTGGGCCCGCGGTGTATCTTCTCGTGGCGTTTAACGACTCCATCTTCCAGCGGGGTATCCAACCCAGCTGTCGGGAACTTTCGTCGAGCGGAGGCAAACGGAATCGAGGGAAAAAGGGTGCGAAAAAGGAGACAGACAGCGGCGCAGGAAGGTCGAGGGTGAGGGACAGAGGAAGCAGTCGCATGTGGAAGAATCGGGCAGGGTGGAGTCGACGACGAGGAACGGTTAGGCGTGCGCTCTGGGCATATCGGCTTTTTGGAGAGCCTTGGTCGATGTTCCTGGTTCCTGGTTAACCCGCGGGATCGGTTACAAGGCGACCCAGCCAGCCGATTGGTCCATTTTGTCAGCGACACCCGCCCACGCCACGTTATCGCGCAACTACTCTCTCCCACTGTGCCCTATCACGCATTCTCCCGCTCTCTCTCTGTCCGCAGTCGTGTCGATAACCTTCCTTCGCCCGTTCTCTGTTCTCCCTTCGTCGGCTGTCACTCTCTCCGTCTGTCCTCTCCCTCTTCGCGTCCTCCCTTCGGGGTCTCTCCTGTGTATATCCTCTCGTCGCTCTTCCTCTCGAGACCGTGCCGCTTTGACCTTCGACGAAAAAAGGATCCGTGTTTCGAATGCGACTTCTTCGAGTTCGTTAACAGGGAGCCCCGTGACTCGGCGATTTTCGACGGTGCGCGGCACACCGTGGGGAAGAGCTTCGCAGCGTTTAAATTATGGGAAGAACCGACGACAGGGGTGGGAGAAGGAACCATGGAGTCAGCTCCCTTCGAGGTTATTAAGCGCGCGAATGCGAGCAATACGATGGTCGCGAGTGCGCGTGGAAAAGTCACTCGTATTCTAGACGTTTTCCCGTTGTTTTTCGTAATATGGTAGTGACGGAATAGGGTGATAGAATATTTTTATATTTTACTAGCTGTGCACCGCGATTTCACTCGCGCGGAATATTAACGTTGCAACCCCTTTTCACCCCCTTAGGGGTTGAATTTCAAAATATTCTCTCTTATTCCTTGTATACATCATAAAGGAAACCTCTGTGCAAAATTTCAGCTTCCTAGGTTCAAAACTGTAGCCTGGACGTTGATTGTAATCAACCAGGGTTTCATTCTTATATACGTAAATAAAAGGTTAACTGAACTACCTGGCGTAGAAGACTCTTAATAATTTAAAAAAAAATACGTATCCAGAAAAAATATATTTGAAATTAAAATACGAATTACTCCCATGAAACCCGCGTGAAGCGCTCCTGTAACACTATAATTTTCCTAATTGTGCTTCCATCTGAATCATTGCCGTCTCGAAAGGTGGGAAAAGGTGGTAAAAAGGAAAATACCAGAAATGTAACGAATAGTTTCAGCGTGTATTGATAATAAACAACGAAAAGTCTAACCGTCGCTCTCGTTCCTGGACGATCCACGAAAGAAAAATGACAAATAAACAATAACTTTGAGTTGATTAGTTAATCGTTTCGTCGCGTGACGGGGATCATGCAGTCCGGTCACGAATCGGCGATGCGGACTGATGCGATTGTTGCTTGACGAATCGTTCCACCAGCGAGCGCAAACCGGGCAAATAATTGCCGCGAATGAGCTGCATGATTTTAACCCGTTCAATGATATTCGCGACCGGATTACGGGCGGCAATCGCATAAATTCTGGGAATCGTTGCATAGTTCGCGGGTGGAATGGGGATGGAATAAGCGCGCGTTGGCTTCCAGGGCACAAAATTGAAGACTCGTAAATTGTTTTGTCGTAATGTCATAATAATCTGTTAATATATTTTCGCGTGAATGTATGTACAGGCGCAAATAATAATATTAATAATAATATTAATAATATTAATAATAATAATAATGATTCATTTCTCCTCGTATATTTATATATGTATATTTTTCGTGTTAATAGTCTTTACGTAAGGTACCTATGTATACGTAGATCATCGTAGTATGTTCATATGTATAGGGTCGATTATACAAGAAATTCGCTAACGTGTCTCTGTGTGTGTGTGTGTATGCGTGTATGTGTTTGTTCGTGTATATCTACAAAGAGAAGGGCGATGGTCTCTCTACCGCAAGAGAATCGATCGACGATCACCGTCAAGCCTAAACGCGGCTCGTTACTCTCGGAGTAAAACGATTCATCGAAGACCGTGTCGATTAATCAAATTTACAAAGCTAGTATCTACTTAGGCTAAAGGGCAGGCCGGGGAGGAAAGATTTCGCGAAGTTTCTTAAATTATTTAGTTCGACCAACGCTCGAGTTCTTGAATCAACAGCGTACGCGACATTGTGCGGTTCGGTTTCGCTGTAAAAATATCCCCCCATGGATTCGACGGATCTTGATATAAAGAAGGCTGTAACGCGGTCTTCGGCGGTAACATTGCCATTTCGTGGCTTCCTTAGGGGTACGACGATCCAAGGAAAAGAAAGCTTAGGGTCTTCGCGTATCAATCGAACGGCTTTAGTTCCTGAAACTCGACTTCGGTCTACGGTTTGGGTTCGTGTTTTTATTTTTCAAACGTTCCACCGTTTCGCGTTAGAAGTTTAAATAGCGTTCGAACAGGCGATCAACAGCTTTCAGGCAACGATTACATCGAAGAACATTTTCTCGAAAGCATGGCTATGTACAGACTACGAAAAAAAAAAACACCGAGTTCGTTTCAGCCTCGAAGCAGGATCGTTCGCGGAAGTTTCCGTCCTGCTGGTATCGGTTCCTCGACGGTACCAAACTATTTACACGCACCACTCGCGTTTTGATCTTGAGAAATTGCACACGTCCGCTCTCGCGAGCTGTCTAACGACGTCAACCGCACCGAGTCTGGCCACTTTTCTTCAACGAGGTACGAAGATACCTGTCGGCGTCTCCTAAAATGTTCCATCTTCTTGCACGGTCTGACGCGAACAAAGTTTTACACCGTGTTTCAGTTCGAATTTCCGATTCGTTCCGTCAAAGATGTTGATTGATTTCTCGCGCCCTTCGACTCCTCGACTCCATCGGATTTCTCGCTCTTTGATCTCGAATAATTACTCCTCGCGCTCCAGGGGCGTAGAAAACGTCCGAGTCCCTCGACTCTTTTCATCGAGACGAAGGCAGCACCCATCGTTCGCGCGGCTTCGGCCTCACAACACCTCGAAACGCTTCCCGAGGAATCGATGCTCGTCGCTGGCCGTGATCTTGCTCGATATGGAACACTGATCGTCCTCGGCGTCCACAGAAATGATTGTTTCCGACTCGAGATCGTCCCTGTCGTATCACGCTGGTGAAAACGGTCTGTGAATCTGCGGTGGTTTCGGGTTGGGCGGCGGCGTCGCGACCCTTATCAATCCCTGGCCTTGAGACTGACCCTGAGGAGTCTGCTGATTCGACGGCGGACTGCCCCGCGAGGAAGGCGTGTGAGGGCTAGGCACTGCGACCCTTAGAGGGCCCGTCACCGACAGATTCGTCGCCATTAGCGGCGGGCTGTGTGCTTCCGATAGGCTGTCCGACAGCCGCGATATCCCGCCGTCGGAGAGTCGCGAGCCGTCCGATAACCTGGACATCCCTTCCGGTAGCTGATGCGAGACGTGGGGGTGGTGCAGCAGCCCCTCGTGAGGATGCAACCTAGGCGGCGGTAGTCCCAGATGATCTGGTAGCCTGGAAAATTGAAATATGATCCGTGAGGTCGGGATTCTTGGAGGGTTGATTCGGTAGGGGTGGTTCGGCGATGGTTGGACTCTGGGCGTTTGTAGAAATTCATATTTTTGTAGGTATAGGTGAAGAGTCGAGACAGAAAGTTCAAGAAGAGAGTTCAAGAGTTCAAAACCGTGGAACATGTATGTTATATACACCCCCGCTCATAAGTATGTGGACACATCCCTAATTGGAATAAGTATTTAACAAATGTGACGAATATATTAATGAATATCACTCATGTCTCTGTATTACACATTTTGTAATATTTATTATAAAATGTATATATTAATAACGTTAATATTTATTAACGGTGTATATTAATTATTCATTAAAGTTGGTAGATATCCACTTATGTTTCTGTATTTAGTTTGCAGTATTATACTAGATTACGGTACTTATAATAATAATTTCAAGTGTATATTCATTATTCATTGAAGTTGGAAAATGTCCACATATTTACAAACAGAGGTGTATCTTTCCATTTACGCAGAAATTCAGAACATTTCGTAATAATGTTCGTAAATAGAATCGCTCTCCTTCGGTGCCGAATCCTGTAATTCAAGGTGAATGTATGAAATAACCCCTTTGATATATAATAATTACACCACACGACTACAAAATGTTGCCTCTGAATAATACATTAGCGAACCATCTAAGAACAACCCCGAGTGACATCTTAACAAATTTGCCCCGAGCAACACGTTCTCCACTTCGTTATCATCTACGTGATTAGGCTCTTCGAAAGTCCATCGAAATTTCATTATCGAGTCTCAGCGATGGCTGATAGATTCTAGTGCTCGGTTAAGGGCGGCGTTTTTTTTTTCTTCACGAGCGACTTACCTCGATCCTAGATCGCCCCTGGGCCCCACAGCCTGGAAGGGGCTCGTTTCCGTCAGCCTGAAGATCCCGCCACCTGAGATGTTCGGATGATTGTGTTGCGGGCTGTGCGGTCCAAACCGGAAGCCCGTCGGCGGGAATTTAAAGGCCGTCGCGTGGTTGAATCGAAACTGCGATTGCGATGGATCGAAGCGGAAATTTAAGGATGGCGGAGGCAGAGGTCCGAGGGGCCCGAGAGGAACAGGAGATGGTTGATGAGTCGGCGGAGGCGAGGAACTAGGCGACGGAGGCGACGTTCCGCCGAGAGAAATATCGGAGTCCTCCGAATCGCTGCCTCCTGGCCCGGGGCTCAGGGCACGCCGTGTATTTCCGTTTCCTGTGCCAGATTGCTGCTGCATTCTGTAACATAACGCAACGCGACAACGTTAGTTCTCGTTAGTTTCGTGTCATCGACGCGTCAACCCCTGCAGGATGACTCGTAATAGCTTCATTTATTCTACATAAACTAGCTACAGAGAAATATCAATGGTCTACAGGGTTAAAATTTTGTCTCGAGACAGTTGTAAACTAGAAAATCTAGCATTTGTCGTGTTACTTATTTTTGTATCATCATCTTACGAATTCTATTCAGACTTATTTTCATGAATACTTGGCTCTTAAAATTAATTGCCGAAGTTCCTTAGTGAAAAGTTCTGTCGCCCATATATGAGTGATGTGACGTTCAACGCGTTAATCTTAAAAATATTACCTTATCCACATCTCGACTATGTTTCATCTTAGCGAATTGTATCCACATTGCACTTTGCTACGTGGAATCATTAATACGAAGACCTTCCGTCTACGGGTATCTCGGCGATCATCAGATTACCGTCTTCCCCCCCTTCATTTAGCAATTAAAACATAGAGCATGTAACCTTTATTACTACCTTGCTCTTATCGCCTGATTATATGAATTTACTTCTGCACGAAGCCTTTCTTCTCCATCGGAAGTAGATCGGCTATTACGAGGTGTAATTCCTCCCTCGCGAAAATTGCTGACTAGTCGGTTAATTGCTGAATAGACGTGGCGTATGGATGAACCTCGCGCAAAACACGTTCGTCTTTATTACTTCGTAACCAGAAAGTGTACATCGATATCCTTTGTTTTGTTGTCGAGCAAGAACACCAAACTCGTTCTTGCGATGTTTCGTGATCGTCGTCGTATTATTTACTAAATTTGTCAAACATGCACTGATATTTATTCGGTCTAAATACGTGGTTAACGCCTAAGTCGTCTTAAAAAAGTTAAACTTCCAATGGCCACCATTGCCGCTCGAATTTTCTGCTTTCGAACCCTTTCTTTCGCGATCGCTGCAACTCCACGAGTCAAGACGTCCCGCGTCGTTCTTTAACGGATCGATTACTCGAGCATGCATCTCCCGTCGCGGGGTCAACGAAAAAGGTCAGCCGCCATTGGCAGCAACTCGGTCGGATGCGTCGCAGGCAAGAGAGGCCGACGTGGGCGTTGATCGCGATGAGAATTTCAAACTCCGTCTTGCTTAGACGGAATGGGTGGATGCACGCGGCACGGAAAACACTTTGTTTCCAGTCATCGTCGCGAAGCGGCTGCAATTAATGAGTAGGCTCGTCCTTCCCAGGTGAGCAAGGATTCACGGGAGAGTAACGACGATTCCCGACGACGCTTCGTATAAAAGAACGATCCACCTCATTACTCGAGAGATTACGAACAGATACGGATATACCGCCAACTTCTCACGCGACCCATCCTGCGCTCGAGATAAACGGCGAACAGTCGCGATCGAAACGGATGTTCCGACCTGTCGACAGGAAAATGTTATTCATCACGCCACCCACAGAGAATTCTTACAGCCGATGACTCACTTTGCGCTGCACTCGTTTTAATTCATAGACGAAAACCGTGCGCAATGACCGTTTAAGTTTACCGTGTTTACGCTGACTGATAACATCTCCAGGTTTTCCACAGTCGACGTTTAAATAATCATTTTCGCAGCGTATGTTGGACACGTGGCTGTTAGAAACTGACAATTGTAGAATTAAAATGGGATGATTTATATTAACACGTTGACTGGCAGAAAAATGTACTTGACAATTTTTGCTAGGATTGAATATATTATTCAAGCTATTGGAGACTTCATAATCGAACATATATCGAGATATTTATTTTTGTATCTTCATCGAGATACATAAATTTCGTTTAAATTCATTTCCTTCGATGCTTAACATTTAGAATTAATTTGTTTAGTTCTTGAGTGAATGGCACTGTCACTCATGTATGGATGACGTAGTTACTAGGTGGAATTTCAAATTCTTCCTATCGAACAGCTCCCATTCTACTCACTCTCCAAGAATCATCAATTTTTCACGCCGTCGAAGCCACGACTAATTTTAATTCCGAACAAGATTCACACCGGAACGTTGCCATGAATCGAGTAACAGCTTAGACGGGGGAACAATGTTGTAATTCGTTTCGTCGATCTCGGGAAGAGCCAGCGCAATTTTCCTTTGCTGTCAGGAACTCGCGCTGATGGAAAACGTAAACACCCAGGAGCCGCGCGAAAATAATTCTTCGTAATAAGAGAAAACAGCGAGACCGCTCGGCGGAATATATTTCTAGAGTGGAAACGCTCCTCGTCGATCGTGGGCAAAGAGAAAAGGAGAATCATTCGCCAGTCTGCCAAAGACAATGAGATGTTGTGGTCGCCTTAAAAGCCTCTTCGCGCCAGATCGATTCGACGCCGGGGCGCCCGAGATACTCCCGTATTTTCTTTGCTAATCGAGTTTCGAGCCCGCACAGTTACCACGGTAACACCTCGAATGATTTCGAACAGGTTCGCTGCTCGAAACGAGGATCTCGTCTGCTTCCTCACGCTACAAAAAAAGAGGACACATACTCGCGAGGAGCTGATTCACCCTCGCGCCAGTTCGAATGCTCTTGGCGAGCTACCGATCTCGTTCACGCCTTAATCGATCCTCGATCCGTTCGCGTTTGATTCATTCCCCCTACCGAATCGTTCCTCTCCCCAGTGTCTCGATACCTGATTCCTCGAACTCGATGGGCTCGAGTCCGCAACATTCGCAATTTTTTATCATTCTTAGTCGGGTTAAAAGGGACAATTTGTCTTCAGTAAATTATTTAAAATATTCATATCCTTTTGATATAATAACCATGCTTTGCGCAACACCCTTGGATGCTATTTCACAAAATCTTTTATTAGGATCCAAGAGATTGGTATGTACATTTTCTAAAAAGGATCCTACTCCTTGAGTAAGTTGTTGCATGAAAAGAGAGCGTTTCTGCGAAGATTGATACAACCTGGCAAATTTTCGTTCTACTTCTTGGATTCTTACGAGTATCAAGATTGTAAACACCGACAAATGTCTAAGCTCTTACCCCCCAACACGTCACATTTTCTTGACGAGATCACGAACGCGATTTACTTCCCCCGAAGGCTGACAGAGAAGAAGAGGGTAAATGGCGGTGGAACGCGATTCGAGGAGAGGCCACTCTTGCGTGGACCCGTTTGAAAACGCGTCGGACACGGTGGTAATCGAACCCGTACCTCGTTTTCTTCTCTCCTGCCCCCCTGGCCCCCCTCCAGGTCCTTTTCTACCCCGGTGTCTCGCTTCAACGGGACACTCGACGCGTTTTAATTATGCCTCAAGACCGCTCTCCTTTGTCTTCGTCCTTTCACGAGACACCCGCACGAGCGCCGCGACTTATTATGTACCAGCCTCTCGTTTTGTTCCGCTAAGTGCTCTCCGACGATCGTCGTCCCCATTGAGGACCGCCTTAATGTCGTGGCATTAAAGTGCGGAGACTCGAGCTTACGGTGTCAATTTTTCGGCGCGAACGCGACCGGATCGCCGTCAATTTATCCGATTCGTTGCAAACCGCGAAACCAACGGAAACGTTCTGGTTTCGACGACGAGAGACCATTTGTAATCAACAAATTTCTCGAGTTTTATGGGGCTTGTTAACGATTGATCGCGTTGGGAGCGAGGTTTCCGCGTTCTCCGATCTTCAAATACGAGGGAACGGATCTAGGGATCGAGGGAGCAGGCTCTATGCGTATCATAAACACGTAAAATTAAACGAGATTTAAGTCATCGTTTAGCTACTTTTGAATTTGTTTATACGATACAGTTTTAGATTTTTACTCGTAAGCGGAAACGAGCGCCACGAATGAATTCTTATCTCCGTGACTATCGACTGTACCAAGCTGCTTTTTTCACCTATTACGAGTAATAATTAATTACTATTTTGAAGCTGGTTCAATTATTAACAGCGATGCTACGCGGCGATGATTCCCCCGTGTCCATGGTTCGGCTACTTGTGCGTTAATTGTTAGAAAAAACCGCGACTACTCGTGCTACTTACTCCGTAATGTGCGCCTTCATAGAACTTGGAAATATCGTTCGTGTAAAAGGAACATAGAAACGCGCGTTACTTTGTATTCATTTGAGTTTTGTGAACATCTTCAAAAACGAGATAAAAGTGTACTCCATCTTCTGATTTCGGCAACTATAATACGAAGAACTTAGGAATCGTTGACTCCGATCCCATCTCATCTCGTTCCCATCGGTTCTTTTGCATTTTTTAATCTCGCTCTAAACCAGAGAGGACTGCCGCCGCGGATTTTTAGCACGGATTTCCTTTTTTCGAACCTTTTGCTCCGGAACGCGTATAATATATTCGCGGCATGTGTCTGCGCGTGCACGCGTTCCCCCGAATTCGCGTGGCGAATCGAGGACCGCGTCGAACTCGGCCCGAAGCCATCACAGGTGACGCGGTGCTTTTGGCGGTGGTGCACGATCAAAAAAGAAATTCATCAGGCGTCGTCCACGGGGAAAGTATCAGGTGCAACGGAGGAGCCCGACGAGGATGCGCCCCGCCGTTAAGTATTTACGCCGCATGACGAGTCACTTTTGTAATCCCCCGTATGTTGCCAAGTATTATGCACGCGGACGACGACGAGGGCTCAAACCGTGACGGAAGCTACTGTAATTACGCGCAAGATGGTCGTCAGCGCCATGGAAGCCCCGATCGATCTCCGATCGAGAAAATCCTCGCGGTGAAAGGATCCATGGCTTTCGCTCTGGTGACGAAAGACTCTTCAAAGGGTACGATCGTTTCGATACGAGTGCGACTCTGGATCGACTTGATAAGGGGATTGTGTGTTATCTGTCCACGCGATGGAATGGGGGCGTTTCTTTCACGACGAGAGCAATAAAACAAGACAGTCTTTTCCCTTTGATGAATTTCGATTGAATTACACCACATTTTCATATCTATTAAATTCTTCTAATGATTGATGCCCCACACTTATGGAACGGAGTGATTTACAGAACAGAACGTTCGGATAACGGAGATTCTGCTA